GTGGCACAGTGAAGAATCTATAACTATTCTTGTTCTGCAATACAACCGATTCATCGGAAATGTGTTTCTGAATAAATCATTATTATTATTTAGTTGGATCGAATTCTAATCATAATATCAAATCTCCGGAATTCAGTGAATAACTGATAATTCATCAAGGGTCACTCCGCACACCAATTTTGGGTCATCTTTAATGTCAGTGTGCCGCAAGCATGCTGATTGTGCCGGTCATAGAGCAAGCTGCGATTGTTTGTAAAATACCCATCCCGGCAACCCGGTATTTCTGACACATAGAATGTTTTGGTTTGAAATCAAACGCGGGAAGTGGCGAGTGTGTGAAATTTCGGTGTTTTGTGATCCATAGGGGAATAAAAGTCCTGTGTTTTAGTGTTTTATAATGCCCTCAAAGGCAGACCAGAAATCTAGCCCTTCGGCCGGAAAGAGTTGGAACCGGTGGGGAAAATTGTTGGAGACCGACTATAGAGGGTGATGAATAGACTTCTTTAGTTTGTTTCGTATGAGTTGCAGCATTATTTGAATTAAGGGTACTAATGAGGTCTGATTAACTGCCTCTTCCTCTTCAGTCCACTCTAGAACCTACATTTCGTATTAAGATCTATAAGTGAACTGCTGGTCTGAGTTCCTCTGGTATATTCAATTAGAAGATATTCCTGAACATACAGCCGAACAGCACGTAATGTTCAGAACAACTTCAATGACAGTTGTCCAGCAGTGCTCCCATTGTATTTACAACAATCTAATGTCTACGAGATTGTGCCGAAGGTATGCCGAAAATGTGCCGATGGATAATGTGGTAAATAGGACTGACGTGGACAACGTGAAGACTTACATAGTACATTATCAGCTTTTGCTACGAGCTGAAACTGTGATAGTTTTCTGGCTATGTCCTTTGATTTCCCTGTGGATTACGACGAGGGTTCCGATCATGCTTCCATACCTTCATATTATAATGATAAAGAACTTATCTAAGTTGGGGAGTCAGCTTGACAACTCCTGTAGCATCTAGAAATGTTTTCTACCACCCTTAATTAGTGGTCATTTTTAATCCAAATTTATAGACTAGCCAAAGTGAAAAAAATCAAGCCAAAGTAGACCGAACTTTGTGTCAATACAAACGCCAGTCTGTTGTTAACCTGGAAGGTAGAACTTGAAATTCTCAGAAGACTTTTCGGGAAAGTTCAAGCTTTTTCTGAGGATTTAATAGAACCAAGTTTCCCATGACTAGCGATAGATTTCATTCAACATTACACCCCAACATCAAGCATTTTCAAGAGTTAATAAACTACTCGCGTCGAAACCCTTGCTTATGACACTCCTCCGACCGCTTGATAGCAGCATGAGCATGGTAGGTAGTGGAATCGGAGGAGAATTATCTCAGACAGCCTCCTGGGTTCACAAGGTGTTACGTCTCAAGAAAAGTTCATACAGTCTGAAGCAGACTGCGAGGTCTTGGAACCGGAAACTGCATCCGGAGCTACTACGGCTAGGCTTCAAGTGGTGCGATTCCGATCCATGTCTGTGTCGGAAGAAGAAAAAAACCTATGGTGCTTCATTTTGGTATACGACGACCTCATCATCGCCAGCAGGAACGAGCGTATCATTGAAGGAACAACCGAAGGACTGCAGAAAAACTTCAACATGTCTTCGATTGGCGTTGACGGCGAATCTGTAGCTCTTTACTCCTACGTAAAATCCCGTACGCATACGTCAGACTGTGCTGTGTGGCGGCGGCGTACAAGTAAGCAGCAACAACGAACAGAAAGGCCTGATCAGTTTCTCGGACGCGGATGGGGCCGAATGCAGTCCAACACCGGATTAAGTTGAATGGTGGTACCAACAGCTGGGCGTGCAGGAAATAATTCTGTGTCATTATCCACCACAGAGGCAGAATGCGTGGCGCTCTACGAAGCCACACAGGATATATTGTGGCTCAAGCGTTTGTTAAAAGATCTCGGAGAAGAACAGCAGAATCCCGTTATCTGGCAACACTGCTGGACTGTTGTTTTTAACTTTTACCGTCTGAATATTTTTTAAGTTTTTCGTTTGTAAATCTCCGTATTAAGTGTATATTAAGTTTTTGTTCTACTATCCATTATCCGTCGTGTCTAGTCTAGTCTACACATACACAGCCAGTACTTGAAAGAATCCTGGAAAATGATACATCTATCATTTTTATTGTCATTATTAATGCCTGCTGCACATCAAGGATGTGAAACAAACAATAAAGCGGCCAGGCCTACTGTGTAGCGTTTAGTTAATTTTTGTGGAAGTGAATGTTTACCATGTCTACTTAATAAGTATAGACAGTGGTTAACATTTAATCCACAGGTAATCAAAGAGCGGGGACATACCGTACCAACCGCTCCGTATGCAGGATTTGAAAATAAGCTATATAAATCGTTGGGAGTGACAGAGCTAAGAAAGTTAATGTACACTCCTTGGTTGTCCGATCTCCTGGGATGGAACACAGGTATTTACTCCTTGTGTTCGAGCGTACAGTCCTCCCTCCGTACAAGCGTGGTCGGCACCGCCAACCCACTGCCATCCCTCAATCGATCCAGCCGACCTCAGTCGAAGGACAACAGAGAACGGTGTGCGGACGTAACCTATACGGAGGGAATGCTGTATTCGCCTAGGTTATAGCGCCCTTGCTCGCTACCATTTTCTTCTAGCGGTTGGGACCTGAGCACTAACTCTTGTCCTAGCCCTATATGGCATATGGTTATAGCGCCATTACTCGCTTTCTGAAAAGAGAAGAAGGGAAGGGAAGGAGGGGAAAAGGACTTGGGAAAAGGAAATGCGGAATTCCTTTCCTCATTAGTATTTGTATCGTCAACTTTTATGAAAATTATATAAATCATTTTTCCTTGGTCAGAGGTATTATTACGACATTTTAATAAGATTGTCTTATCATTTGTTATTCAAAATTTAATGTTATAATGATCAACATAGCTTTGGATTATCCAATATATTTCATAATTAAAAAAAAAAACATTTTTTTAGCTGAAATGAGTATTTGCAACCTTGTCATACAGATCTGAAAATTAAATCAGTAGCTTGCTTCTCTGCATCAGACATGCTTAGACGGCTTAGACTGACTCCACAAATCAATGGTTGCTACTCCGTGATTGGCCAGAATCAGTGAAATTGCACAGTGAATGGGGTTAGGAGTGACCGAAAATTCTCATTGTAGGGGAAATGGCTCTAATGTTGGCCTATGGGTTTAAGATTAGGCCCATAGCTAAAAATCTGCTTTTTATCAGTTTTATCTAGATGAACGCGTCATTGGGATGGTACTAACTACTATCCATTATCCGTCGTGTCACAAAAAACTCAAGTTTAAACTAAATTGTGTATATTAGTCCAGCTAATTCATCACATTATATTTGTGCCTCTCTGCCAAAATCATCATGGCGAAAAACTGCGGAAAGTGCTCGAAGTCTATTCGTGGCATTGAGTTTGCGAAGTGTGCAGGCTTTTGTGAGCATATGTATCACTACGCTTGCTGTGGACTGACAAGGCAAACCCACGACACTATTCTGGCACACACCATTTGGATATGCAGTGAGTGTAAAACTACCGTCAACAACCGCTCGCTGAAGGAAATTTGCTCCAACGATGATGGTATCACGGCTATCGATGACCTCAAACAGCAGATGCACGAGCTGAATGGAAACGTCCAGTCATTGTTCGACACCGTGTCCGGTTATGTCACCAACTCGAAGTCTGGATTTCAAAAGTTTGATCGTCAACTGGAAGATACCAACAACAAAATTGAAATGTTCTTGGAGAAAGCCGGAATTGTGGAAGATGCAGCCAGTCACCATAGAAAACAACAACATCAGAAACATCGAACCGGGGAAGCAACGTTCGCCGAGCAAAGGGCTGCGGATATCAATATCGACGGTCTGACTGCTCCACGTTTACTACCCGAGGAATCCACATCGCTGTTCTGGCTGTATCTCTCTGGGTTTCACCCACAAGTGTCCGTTGAGGATATCCAAAAAGTGGTGGAAGGCTGTTTGAATATGAGCGACACTGTGAAAGCGGTGAAATTGGTGCCCAAGGATAAGGACCTCTCTAGGGTAACGTTTATCTCCTTCAAAATTGGATTACCGCTCGATTTCAAAGACACTGCATTGCTACCCGAAACCTGGCCAAAAGGAATTCGATTTCGAGAGTTCGAGGATTATTAAAAAAAACCGGCAATCATCATCCATTCAATAACCACCTTACATGACGTACGACCACCGGGGGAGAATGGGGGCCACGGGGCCCCCAGTCCAGTTAAGTTAATGTATTGTTCTATTTCACAAAAAACTAAAGGAATGTTGTTTCAGAATAGCCACACCCAGCGAGGTTCCGGGCTGACGTTCTACTACCAGAACGTTCGAGGGCTGCGTAGCAAAATCGAGGACTTCTTGACTGCCGTCTCTGCTTCTCCATACGACGTTGTAGTTCTGACCGAAACTTGGCTCGACGATGTTATTCCGTCCCGGATGCTGTTTGGTGACAACTTCGTGGTATACCGAGGTGACCGCACTGCACTTACTAGCAACAAGAAACGGTCCGGTGGAGCCCTCATCGCGGTTAGAAAAAACATCCCGTCGTCGGTTTTCCCGGTAAATGAGCATTAAATGGAGCATGCCTGGGTCAGTGTTTGTGCAGAAAATTGCAAGATAATTGTTGGTGCCGTATACATACACCCGGACAAATCTAGCGATGTGCAAGTTGTTAAGCGTCACACTGCCTGTTTGGACTATGTTACATCTACACTGAACACGGATGATATAATCTTTGTTTTCGGTGACTATAACATGCCAGGACTACAATGGAGCAATTTGGCAGAGGCGTTTCTCACGGTTGACGTTAACAAATCGTGCATCACTCGATCAGGTGCAGCGTTGCTCGACGGTATAAACTCCAGTAATATGCGGCAAATAAATGGCTTTGCTAATCGCCACGGCAACATATTGGACCTATCGTTTGTCAGTGAAACACTTGACGGTGCCTTTTCCATTGACAGTGTAGACGATCCGCTCGTTGCTATCGATGTTTGGCATCCCCCGTTCGTAGTCACCTTGAATGACAGCTTTTCCATGCGTTTCGAAAATGACGACTTCGACTACCAGGCCTACAACTTTGCTAAAGCTGACTTCCTACGATTGTTGACGTTATTGAGTGAGGTTGATTGGTCGCCTGTCAGGAGCTGTTTGGGTATCGACACAGCCGTTCACTTTTTTGCCGTTTCTGTCCGCCAAGCAATAGATCAATGTGTACCGCTACATCGCCCACCAATGATGCCCCCGTGGTCAAACAAGGAACTGAAAAGAAGGAAAAAGCATTGCAAACTCACACACAGGACTTACCGCAGATCTCGTTCTCTATCAGACAAACTAGTCTTCCATACAGCTAGTCGGCGATACAGGAGTTTGAATGGCAAACTCTACCGCAAATACGCCAGTGGAATCGAAAGGAACCTCAAGCGAAATCCTAAATGTTTCTGGAATTTTGTTAATTCAAAGCGAAAGGAAACTGGTCTTCCAACTTCTATGTCCATAGATCAGAAAGTGGCACACACTAGCTCGGAAAAGTGTGGACTTTTTGCTGAGTTTTTCCGTTCCGTTTTTGAAAGCTCGCCTGTGAATGAGGATGCTGCTGATCCCCTTGACTTCACTCCAACTGACGTGATTGAGCTGGATACCTTTGAGATTTCAGCAGAAGATTTCATGAAGGCTGTCAAAAAACTGAAGTCGTCGAACAATCCTGGCCCTGATGGAATTCCTGCATGTGTCATAACAAATGCTCTGTTCAACTACTGGAACCACTGCTGTGCATCTTCAACCTGTCCATGAGCGTGGCCAAGTTTCCAACAGACTGGAAGTCGTCCTTTATGTTTCCTGTTCATAAGAAGGGTAGCAAAACTGATGTCAGCTGTTACCGTGGAATAATGTCCCTCTGTGCTTGCTCAAAATTGCTCGAAATTATCGTCTCCAACTATATGTTCGACAGAACAAAAAGTCACATATCTACGAATCAGCATGGGTTTTTCCCCGGAAGAAGTGTAACCACAAACGTCACTGAGTTCACTTCGATCTGTCTTCGAAATATTGGGCAGTGAAAGCAATTAGATACAATATACACTGACTTGAAAGCTGCATTTGACCGGGTCAACCACTCCATTCGTCTGGCTAAACTACACAAGATGGGCTCATCTGCCAATTTCGTTCAATGGCTCGAATCATATCTCTGCAACAGGACTCTTGCAGTAAAGATTGGATCTTCAACTTCTGACTGGTTCTGCAATACCTCCGGTGTACCTTAAGGAAGTAACTTGGGACCGTTGCTATTTTCGCTGTACATCAATGACGCAACTGTGCTTCTGGAAAATGGATGTTACTTTATTTATGCTGATGATACAAAAATCTATGTGATCGTTGAAAACGAAGACGACTGTCTGCGACTCCAGGAGGCACTGGACAAGTTTGCATTGTGGTGTCGTGCCAACAATATGACCCTCAGCGTACCTAAATGACACGTCATTAGCTTCCACCGCAAGAAAAATTTCCTTCAATATGAATATGTCATCGACGGAACCACCCTATCACGCGTGCAGACAGTGCGTGATCTTGGAATTACATTGGACTCAAGTCTCACGTTCAGGAACCACCACGAAGATGTTATTGCGAAGGCACGACGGCAGCTTGGTTTCATTGGAAAGGTGACAAAGGAGTTTCAAGATCCTTACACATTGAAATCGCTGTATGTTAGTCTTGTTCGTCCAATTCTCGAGACAGGCTGTATTATATGGGATCCGTTTCATATCACGGTGATCGATCGCATAGAGGCCGTTCAGCGCAAATTTGTGCGATACGCTCTTCGCAACTTACCGTGGAATGACCCGGTTAATCTGCCACCCTACGAGAATAGATGCCAACTACTGGGATTGGAAACGCTGGAACAAAGGAGGAAGAACGCGAAAGCTGTATTTGTAGCGAAACTACTGAACGCCGAACTTGATGCACCGAATCTTCTTGCTCTCATCGACATTAACATTCCCGGCTATGCACTCAGGAATACCGAATTTCTCCGCTTACCACGCTGGCGACAGGACTACGACGGTAACGAGCCAGTACGTGCAGTCATGCGCAATTTCAACGATGTTTATAATTTGTTCGACTTCAATGAAAACTCTGTTCAATTTCGCTCAAGGCTAAGAAGAATGAATTGATGTTGATGCTAAGAATTATTCATTAAGACAACAAATTGTCGGATGAAGATATCAAAGTAATAAATAAAATAAATAAATCTACGAAAACAATCAGAGTGCACTAGAAATGCGGAAAATTCAGCGACAGACAAATAAGGAAGGTGAGATCCAGTTCGTCTATTGCCCAACCGAGCAAATGACTGTTGATCTGCTGACGAAACCGATAGGAGGGATCCGGATGGCCAAGCTTCGGGTGATGAGCCGATTTGAAGTTCAGTGTTGAGGAGTGTTCGCGGATCTTAGCACCACCGTGGACCTATGCCAGATCAAAGCAATATATAAGTTTTCTCTGTGACTTTCAAACTTCATTCTCAAATATATCGTTCACTACTAAAGCCGTGTTTCCTTCAAGTTCCCTAAATTTCCATCGATGATAACACTAATAATTCTACGAGGAAAAGGAGGACACTTGCAAGTCTTGTATTTTGTTTTGTGTATCGTACAGACTATGGCTTATATAATATAATATACACGCTTTTTCAGGCATTCTTCGATGTAAACTTGGGATGTCATCGTCGAGGATGTGACGAATGGTTCCGTTTTCAAGCTACAACTGCAAATCGCTTGCCAAATCATGGGCTTCTTCGCGAACTTGTCGGCAAACACGAACTTGAATCCTCCCGGCACATCCCCACGTCCAGTCGCGATTGGAAACTTTTGACCGGGAAGCTGCTTAAAATCGAGTTTGATGTATGTTTCGTCATCGATCAAAGTGCAGTACTTGTGTTTCATCAAAACACGGTCGTACAAAGCGCCTTGCACGCTTTTTGGCCACGGAATTCTGCTTCATGTGCCGGTTCGGATGTTTACTGGCTTTGTACGACTTGTATCGTTGAAAGTTAGTGTTGTACCTTCTGGCCACATCTCGGATCGAAAGACCGGGGTTGGCTTTAACGCACCTCAACACCTTGCTGCGCAGCTGACGATCCATGGTTCCAGTTTTTTTTGTAGGTCCACTGATTTCTTTCCACGCTCAGGGTTTGCTAGTAGGTTTTGAGCACTCGACAAACTATTGTTTTTGGCATCTTCAGCACTTTAGCCAGCTTGGAAACGTTTCCGGAATCCGTTTGGTGATAGGGTTTTGACATAGGACTACGTCTGTGATTTCTTTATGGGGGTACACTTTGTGAAAACCGAAAATGGAACATGTAACAAAATTGTGAAAGATTTTGAACGTTAATAACTCTGCTGCCCCTGGTCCAATTTCAATAATTTTATAACCAATCGATCAGAAATATGGCTACGCATCGATAACAATGCTTTAACAAGAAACTATTGAAAAGTGATAAATGTCCAGCATTGTCCAAAAGCGTCGAATTAACTAACAAATCCACCAATTACGTACATGCATATGCTGCTTCCCCAACACAGTCATCAGAGAATCATTCCTAGACGAAACATGTCTATGTAGCATTACGACGAGGTTCGGTAGTTCAGTGGTTACCGTTTCTGCTTACTGAGCAGAAGGTAGGGAGTTCAATCCCAGGCCTGTCCCCTTCCTTGCAATTTTTCACTTTGCCTTATTCTATCCCCACTAGATTTAAATAAAAACAAATTCTGCTTTAACCGATCGCATCACTTATCTTACCACAGTGAATCCTAATCTAAAAATAACCTACCTCACTAACACAACTATCCTTCCCGAGACAGCCGTGGAGATCTAGAGGTCTTCTCGGTTTCTAGTAACAACCGGACGTCGAACTAATCATCCTTCCCTCCCCAAAAGACCGTGAGGATGTGGCCGGCGCTGTGAATTGATCTAAAGCTTGAATTAATGTGCTTGTACATTGAAGATGGAAAGCTTATCCCATGCACCATCTATGTAGTTCTCTGTGCAAGTGGATTAGTTCTGATCATTCACGGAGGAGCAACTACGAAGTGCACGGTCAGCTAACGTTAACTCGACGGCAAATACGTATTCATTGATACGTTTGTTGTTGTGGATGATAGAAGAGCATATAGTGCGAAATAGGAAGCCATGGTCATCACAAAAGAGGAAATCGATAAAGAGAATTGGCTTTCACCCTTCTGCTTCTAAGCCCCATTACAGTCATCTTCATAGCATCGCATCGCTTTTGGTTCTGGTTGCAATTTTTAGATCAGTATTCACTGTGATGCGATCAGTTGTGAGCAGCAGAAATGTCCTTTCCAACTGTTTTGTGGAATCTTTTAGTGGCTCTGAAAAGGTCCGGTTTTGTTAGATTTCGACGGATAAATTAAGAGCGTTCACCACAAATACGAAGAGCTAGCTGAATGTCCTTTGGCATAATTGTGACACACTTGGCATGGATGGCGAACAGACCGACCAGATAGGCCTCGCATGATTCCTGTAGGGCCATTAACGGCCGAGCTCTGGAAGCGCAGATCGGTCTAGAAGTCTTGGGCGATTTCACGGACCAGACGCTGGAAAGGCAACTTGCAGTCAGCAGCTCGGTCGATTTCGGGTAACGACGGATCTCACGCAGAGCGACAGTTCCTGCCCGATAGCGATGAGACTTCTTCACTCCTCCGGTGGCTGGAGCGCTCTTGCGAGCGGCCTTGGTGGTCATCTGTTTGAGAGGAGCCTTTCCTCCGGCGGACGTCACCATTGCGTACAACCCCATAGGGCTTTCCCTTGTAGTTTTTTGCTGTGTCGGATGGTAGGTCGGTCTGGTACCGAAGACAATCTGTGGCTGGTTACCAGTGCAGCCCGAGAGTTTTGATGACCTGATCTCGGTCGAGATCTACTAAGGTCGAATTTCCAGTGGAATTTCTTCGAGTACTGCTTCGTCGTTTGCTACGAATGCATCTAGCTGTTTCCTGATTACGACAACTTCTGCTGCGTTGTTTCCGCCGAAAAAGAGGTCGTTGACGAAGACATACTTCTTAAGGGCCTTGGCTGCGAGAGGGAAATGATGACTTTCGTCGTTGGCAAGTTGGATCAGTACTCGAGTGGCAAAGAAATGAGTGCTAGCAGTACCGTACGTTACAGTATGCAACTTGTATGCCTCCATGGGATGGTCCGGCAACTAACAAAACTTGATGCTTCCTGCAGCGCATAGTGATTGAACGGATGTCCTCTTGAACCGTCGGCCCAACCATTAGAGCGTCGTTGAGCGACGGTCCGTTTGGTGTTTTACACTAGGCATCGAAGGTAACCCGTAGCTTCGTTGTCGTGCTTTTCTCGTGTATCACAGCGTGATGAGGAAGGAATTTAGTAGTGCTGCTGGATTCTCATAGTAGTGAGTGCGCTGCATGTGTCCGAGATCGAGATATTCGTCGATTAATACCTTGAAGTAGGTGGAATCGACGAACAGCGGTATAACGGTAGTCGTTAACTAGGCTTAGGATCTCTTCCTTGAATGGTAAGCGGACTACATAGCGTCTCTCTGGAGTACGAGCTTAATCCAAATTTCCCTTTTGGGCGTTTATCGCCGTCGATCTACGAGCAACAGGTGGCGCGTCGATGCACTTTCGTTGTCACGAACACATGTTTTTTCTTTCATTTAATTAAAATTGCCAGTCCTCATGCCTAATTAATTTGACTGCCTACATTTATTCCATCTGTCCTTTTGGCTAATGTTTTACATAGTCTTACATTCCTACTAGAAAGTTTTATTACTTTGCTCCTTTCTACTGATTGGTTGGAATGTATCATATGTTTAGGCAACGAAAAACTTGCTTCATGTCTTAAACACGAAGATTTATTTTTGTTTTATGGATTGGTTGAAAACTAGTGCTAGGTCGAACATTAGTACGTTTTCCCTAATACGTGTCAGAGGTGTATTAATTTAAGTTTTTGTTTTGGACATTCAAGCATGCACCATCAAAAAATCACCCGTTTCCTTAAGCATCAACGCTTTGCCACCACGAACCCATCGCGTCGCCGATCACCTAATCCCCGGGCTCATTAACACGTCTTATCTACCCTCAATCAACACAACCAGCAGCAGTTTTATCAGGCCCAAGGCGGGCAACACCACCCGACAATCCGACATCACTGCTGACCGAAAGATGGGTGGGAAAAACTGTCACTTGTCTAATACGACATCCTGCTCAGTCGGTTTTTCGCATTTTTTTTTCCATTGACAAAGCCCGGGAAGACAAGCAATAGAAGAAAAAAAGGATGAGAAACCATTCCCCGCTCCGCTCGATTGGTGAGTGAGTGCAGGAAGCGAGCACCGACGGTCGACGACAGGAATGGGAAGTGTTTCTATCAGCGGAGAAAATTAATAACACCGACCCTTGTCATAAGTCACTTTTAATTAGCGAAAAGAATGCAAAACGGGCCTCGAGAGAGATAGAGAGAGAGAGAGTGGGAGAAACGGCAAACAATCTTCGTCTTGCTTCACTTCCGGAATGGAAATATATCGCACCCCCATGGCAGTGCGGTCCCAAAAATGTTGCGCATCTCCCCAGTGTAAACGGAGCTGAACGTGACAGCCATACCGACAGCATAGATGGAATTCCCTGCTCAACTGCTTCCCGTTCGGTAGTGATTGATGTCGAGAATAGCTGAGGGATATTTATCATCACCTTTTTCGTCCGTTTGCTGCTGCAGTTCTTGTGCGCCATGGGAAACTTTCTCGGAAAACACCCACCCGCCAACCACTCGACCAGTTACACCACCGAATTTCCCCCCAAATATGTCTCCACTTGTACCGCGCTCATAACTATGCGGAAGATGAAGAGGTATGATGGCTATTGTTTCGTCCTGGCTACACACTCTCCTTTCTGTGCCGTGCTGGTGCTGGAGGGGGTGATGCTGCACCATTCTTCGGATTCGGTTATTTCCGGAAGAGGCACCTCCTCTTCCCACTTTCATTTCCTCTTGATCCCGTACCCGGGCAGAATACGGAATGACGACCATTCTCACCATCACACTGACTGACTGGCTGACGGAGGACGAACTAGTTATAGACGATGCAGAATCAGAAGCAGAAGCAGAAGAAGAAGTGCGCCGACGAGCAATCCAGTCCAGTCATCAGCACACTAACCGGAATGGATGCTGGAGAAAGAGTGCTTTATCATCCAATTAAATATTTTTCGAGACGATTTATGATGGGTACCTTTCCTCCCATTCAGAGCTGCCAGGTGGTTTTATAAAAAATCTGTATCCACTCTATTAAAAAATCTGTATTTTCTGTATTGACGATTTTTTCTTAATTAATCATGTTTTGTTGTTTTACAAATACAGTGCATACAAAATAACCATAAAAAGTGCTTAACCACCTATTCGGGCTATCGTACTAACCATACGGGATATAATTGCGCCATTTGTGATATCGTCCGTACTTATTTATAAGAGTGATATGAAGCCGTTTGAAAATGTATGGATATTTTAGTTTCTATTCATTATCTTCCTGATAAGCAGTTTTAAATGCAAAAAAGTGCACGAGTTCATTACTATTTGATATTTTTAATATAGATGAATACAATTGGCAAATCAAAGTTGCCACTCGTGGAGAATAGAAGAACTATGAAAGTGATGATGGTTTCAAAATTTTCCACGGGGAAGTATACGAGTGCAATCTTAAAATGCTTTTATTTTGAAAATGGAGCATTTTATTTAAATCTGGTTACTGCTACAGTGGTAGAAAAGCGGAAGTCTATGTTTACACCTAAAAATCTGAAAAGAAATTAAGTTTTCTGTATTATATGTCTATTGAGTAGTCCTGAAGTTTTCTACTAACGTAGCACTAACCAGATTTAAATAAAATGCTCCATTCACAAAATAAAAGCATTTTAAGATTGCACTCGTATACTTCCCCGTGGAAAATTTTGAAACCATCATCACTTCATAGTTCTTCTATTCTCCACGCATGCCAACTTTGATTTGCCAATGAATTACATCATTTGTGTGGTAGTTACACCGAAAAGTCGAGAGATGTCGCCCCGCCAGTGCTGGTAAAATCATTTTTGCAGTATTAGCAAATCAAAGTTGGTACTCGTGGAGAATAGAAGAACTATGAGAGTGATGATGGTTTCAAAATTTTACACCGTGAGGTATACGAGTGCAATCTTAAAATGCTTTTATTTTGCAAATGGAGCATTTTATTTAAATCTGTTTGGTGCTATGTTAGTAGAAAACTTAAGGACTACTCAATAGACAAATAATATAGAAAAATTAATTTCTTTTCAGATTTTTAGGTGTACACATAGATTTGAGCTTTTCTACCACTGTAGCAGCAACCAGATTTAAATAAAATGTTCCATTTGCAAAATAAAAGCATTTTAAGATTGCATTCGTATACTTACCCGTGGAAAATTTTGAAACCATCATCACTTTTATAGTTCTTCTATTCTCCACGAGCGCCAACTTTGATTTGCCAATGGAGAATATCAGAAAATCCGCAATTTCTTACGAAATACATTTTCAATGCGAAACTACCGTGACGGGCGTGACTGCGTTTTCCGTTGGAGGGAGTGAGAGAAGCATAAAAGAAACAGCAACGCCTCGAGCAGATCCCACTGCAAAAAATATGGTTTTTAGCACAACAATTAATTTCGGAGAGAAGGGGGTACGGTGTTAAAATCGAGCAAATTATTTTGTTTTTATAAATTTTGAATTTTTTTTTCTCAAGCAAAAAAATCTGTATAAATCTGTATTGTAATTTAAAAATCTGTGATAAATCTGTATTCTGTATCGGGTCTGTATTAAGATTAAAAAATCTGTATAATACAGATAAATCTGTATAAATGGCAGCGCTGCTCCCATTAATTCAAACCGCACTGTTGTTGTAGGTAGTAAGGTACTGTGGGAAACGATGCGACGAGCGATGAGTGACTGGCCAGGAAATTGTGCAACTGTGTCACCAAAGAAGGGGGGGGATAGAACAAAGATGAAAAGCACTACTCAGCGAAGGTCTGTTTAGAAAAAGGGAGACCGAGTCATTTACGGTGGTTTCCGTTGATGGCTTGAAGGAGCTGGATGATGTCGTTAGTATTGAAGAGTCAAAGAAAGTCGGATGAGCATTTGACAAATATTGGAGATTTGGTAATTTTTTTTCCATCTTTCGGTATTGGCAGCTAAAAAATTGGATTCACGGCAACAGTCCCATATCAAATCAACTCCCTTCGCGTAATTGGTGTGTACAGCTAAAAAAAGTAGTGTACATTTCCGTTACTATGATGCGCATAAATGGAGTGAAAATTGTACACAGATAGTAGGCAGTGATGCAAAATATCATGACACTCACTCGACAGTTGTCAACGCATGAACCGACTATCGCTGACAGAACGTTTTGTCACGCAGTGAGAGGTAGACCCATGGAAAAAAAAAACAACCACCAGTAATGGTCGCTGCTCACAGGCAAAACGTAACACTCGCTGCCGATGATGTAAAGCACAATGAAAACATGCCCAAGTAACATTTTAAGTTTTAAGAAATACTACAAAGCAACTATAAAACAACATTCATAAAACCCTGGTCAAGGCTATTTTGTCATTAATTCATCCACCAAAACCACATTAAGACTAGAAAATGTCTAGTTGGCCCTCCCTGGAGAAGGTTCTGAAGGGTGTATTCTCGAAGCTCTTCAAGATTGATTTACTGCAAAAGGTTGTATGACGAACGCATTGAGAACCATTTGAAAGCTACAATAAAAGC